CTGAGTTCAAGCAATCCACCCTCCTTGGCTTCCCACAGTGCTGGGAATTATAGTCATGAGTCGTCTTACATTCTAGGAATCATTCCCATTTGGTCATGATATGTGATTATTTTCAGCATGCTGCTGAAACTTTGTCTTGTAGTAATTTGTTCAGGATTTTTGAGTTCGATTAATCAGGATTATTGCTCTATAGTTTTCTTTTTTTTTTTTTCTCTGAGACAGTCTCACTTGGTCACCCTTGGTGGAGTGCCATGGAGTCTTAGCTCACGGCAACCTCAAACTCTTGGGCTCAAATGATCCTCTTGCCTCAGCCTCCCATTTAACTGGGACTACCGGTGCCCACCACAACGCCCAGCTATTTTTTAAAGACAGGGTCTCATTCTGGCTCAGGCAATGCACCCACCTCGGCCTCTCAAGTGTTGGGATTACAGGCATGAGCCACCACACCCAGCCTTTATAGTTTTGAAGAAACTATCTGTTCTGGCTGTCAAGTTTATACATGCCTCACTGGTTGAATTTGGAAGTATCCAGTCCCTTGTTAATTTTAGAAAGAGCTTAAGAAATATTTGTGTCAATTTATTGTATTATTTATTTACTTTTTGAGACATTGTAACACTCTGTTGCCTTGGGTAGAGTGCTCTGTCATAGCTCACAGCAAACTCAACCCCCTGAGCCCAGGAGATCCCCTTGCCTCAGCCTCCCCAGCAGCTGGAACCTAGGCATCTGTCATAACTCCCAGTAAAGTTTTCTATTTTTAGTAGAAATGGTGTCTCACTGTTGCTCAGGCTGGACTTAAACTCCTGAGCTCCAGCAACCCGCTTGCCCATGTACATGCTGAGATGACAGGTGTGTGCTCTTGCACCCCGCCTGTGTTAATTTTTTAATACATGGTAGGCTTTGGCTTGAGAGACATTTCATTCTGACTCTTGTCTAATGGGAGGTATTGAATCACTGAATCACTCTCTTTGTGACTGGTGGATTCAGATTTTCTCCTTCTTCTTGCCTAAGTCTTGGTAAGTGGTACATTTCTTCTATTGGTGTGTGACTTCTTGGTTATCAAATTTATTGTCAAATGATTGTTCAGTCTCCTTCTCCTACTTCCCTTTTCGTTCATATGGAATCAAGTGTAATGGTTTATTTTTGTATTTCTAATTTTAGCTATTTCTGTCTTATGGGGTTTTTATTTTCTAGTTTATGTGAGCAAGGAGTTATTGATCTTTTATCATTCAGTGTAAATTCTGTTACTTTTGTGACTTGCTCTAGTAATTTTCCGTTCTTTAGTTTGTTTCTCTTCTAATCTTTGCTCCTCTTTCTGCTACCATCATATTTTGTTCTTCTACCTTGCTGAAGTTAAAAGTTAGGTTGTGGGCGGTGCCTGTGGCTCAAAGGAGTAGGGCACCAGCCCATATGCCAGAGATGCTGGATTCAAACCCAGCCCTGGCCAAAAACTGCAAAAAAAAAAAAAAAGTTAGGTTGCTTATATGTGAATGTTGTTTATTTTTCATGTATGCTAAAATAGTTGTCAGTATCTTTGGTACTAATATTTTTGCTACATTTTGTAAATTCTGTTATATTATGTTTTCCTTTTTATCAAGATGTCTTTTTATTCCCCTTGTGATTTCTTTAAAAAATTGATTTCCTTCATATAAATGTGATGATTCATTTGTACACATTTGTTAATGTTTTTGTTTTGCTTCTGCACTTGTCTCCTTTTCTTCTATTATGATAAGCATGAATCATTAGAATTATCTCAGTTTTTTTAAATTGTGAGAAAAATTGTTCTGGGTACCAGGAGGTGTATTCTGCAAATTATTCAATGGACACTTCAAAATAAATCTTTTTTTTTTCTGAGACCAAGTTTCACTTGTTGCCCTCAGTAGAGTGCAGTAGCGTCATAGCTCACAGCAACCTCCAGTTCTTGGGCTCAAATGATTCTCTTGCCTCAGCC